ACTTATATATAAGCTATCCAAATATTTAGGGAGTTGAAAAATATATCTGTAATTAATGCCAGAAGTTACAGGTGAACATGATACTTTGGCTTTGGCCATTAATTCCTGTACTGAATTATCCTATAATCTTTGTTTGATACAATGAAATGCTGATGACATACCCCTGGAAAATAGATAATCAGGATCAACGCCAATCTGACTTATATTCTGAGTCACTTGTTTAAACCGCCTATCTACAAAAGATTCATTTGGAATTTCCTGAAGCAATCCTTCCTTATTTTTAAAAACAGTGGTGATGGGTGCACCATTAGAAGACTATGTGTCCAATTTCACCTGCTGCTGAAGCCAAAATGGCAAGGGAAGGCAGTGTCTAGTGACCATTCCTGCCAACAGCTCAGCAGAGGCCAGCCCTAACCATGTCATCACCAAGATAATGAATGAGAGAGCGTAGATCATTCATACACCAAGGCTTGTATTTGTGGAAGACAGAAAATGTTGCTTTAAAACTGAAACAGCCAAGTGCAAATTTAGGGTGCTTCCATGGAATCCTGTGGATGAGACAAAGGCTTTATCACATGCCTCTAAAAACAGTTAATGGGGCATCTCATAACTGTGGTTAGCAGGTCATGTGAAAACCCATTATCTTGAAAGTGAGGTCAGGTGACCTGTTGTAGGGGTTATCAAAGATGACTAAGTAGAGCAGGGTTTCTCAACCTTAGCAACTTTAAGATGTGTGGACTTCAGCTCCCAGAATTCCCCAGCCAGCATTCTGGGAGCTGGTCCACACATCTTAAAGTTGCGAAGGTTGAGAAACACTGAAGTACAGCAATGCATGAGTACCTTCATAACCTATTTCAGTGTCTTCTTTATATTTATTTAACAAAGAACATACTCTCTCTGGGGCAATAGAAGTTTGTATTTTTTCTTGTGTAGCATCCAGTATAGAAACTATAAATAAATGTTTAATAAATTGACTATAATATTGGCTGTAATATCTCATGGAATGGAAGGGAATAAGGTAAGGAGGACTTTTCAGGAAAGAAGGAAGAACGATAGCTTCTGAGAGAGCCAATAAAAGTATTTCAGCCTTCCAGGAATAAACAAATATCACCTAAACTAAGGTTTTTCAAACTCTGTTCTGCAGAAGTCTAGAGTTCTGCAAGAACATGATAGGCAAACACACACACACAGAGTTCACTTGCACACAGCCAATTTTCTATCACCAGAGCTTCAACCAGGGGCTCTGGGATTCTTGTTAACTAACAGTTTCTACAGCCTGAGAACATTTCAAAACCCTGACCCAAACTACCAATCTCTGGTTCCTGGTCAGCAAATGGCTGCAACTCATCCTTAGCTCCATATTCAGCTTCTCAAGGAAGTGATGGGAGAACCTGGCCACCATCCCAAAGATGGAAGAAAGTTATATTTGAATGTCAATGGAATTTATGGCCCTCACGAGCCAATAATCTGATAACTGCCCTTTCTTATCTGCAGCTTCTCTTGAAGATGCCATCCATGTAAATGTGACTAACCAAACAGTCAATTCTGCTGTCATCTGGTGGAAGCCTCCCAGAGCCCTCTCTCACTGCCCAGGTCAACTGAAGAAATATGTCATATGTTATCAAAAGGAGCAATATGGTAACTTAACATGTGAGTATGGGGTTCTGACCTTTGTGTCTCGGCTTCATACAATTTGGAAGAGAAAGATGGTATCCTGGCAAGGTTCACCACTGGAACTTGGGCCAAGGACTTGGTTGCTGCTGCCATGGTGCTGTGGAAAATGCCAATCAAAGTACCGTCCTGTTCTTGTTCAGATCATGAAGCCAATGCATCAGACACATGGTATACAATCCAGGATTTACAGCCCAACACTGCCTATCTTGTTGGTATCTGGGCCTCTACAGAAAACAGCAAAGAAAACTGCAAAGCCCTTTATCGATTTCTAACCAGACCTCCAGGTATAGCTTCCCCTCCCTCTGAGTCCTCCTTCTGGAGTTCCAACAGTAGCAATAGCTCCTCTTTGTTATTTTTCCTCTCTAGATCCCAGGCAGCTAACTCTGGCACTAAGCTTTCTATCTATGGGAATTTTTGGAGGCATCCTTGCTGCCGCCACCATCTTCCACCTTGGCAAAAAGAGGTAACTGTGATCAAGTCATGTGCAATAGCCATTTGAAGGGCAGTGGAGAAATGTCTGCTTTAAGACATAGGAAGTTTAGTCTATAGACTGGCCAAATAATGATGATGAAGGGAGAGAATCCAACAAAATGTATTATGACATTGACAATATTCTTTGCATAGTATTCCAGCACCTGTTGTACAAGAACGAGACCCCAGGTTCAATCAACTCTATTTTCCTTGATGTCCAGGAATGTTAATTTGTAAACTGAGTTAGATGACATTGGCTTTATGAACTGACTGGTGTTAAGGCAGCATTTTATGCTGAAATTACCTAAAGAATTGCTGTTATGAAACAAATAAAATTAACTCCTAAGCAGCTGCTGTAAGCAACTGTTATCTCCCTGGACAGTTGATTCCAAAGTTGTCAGCTAATTAATCATCCACTATATGGCTTTAGTGAGCTGATGCAGTAAAGCAGCTGAGAACATGAGCTGGGGAATTGTCACTTGTAATCTCAGCCCTGATAGGTATTCTAGTAAAGGCACTGTCTTTCAGCACCAATAGCATTCTAACCTGTAATATGGGCATAATGCTACCGGCCTATCTCACAGGGAGGTCAGATGTATTGAAGTTGAATGACCTAGTTTGCACATAATGCCAAGACATAATATTGTTTGCTTTTAATTGAACATGATGGCTTAGCATTATGAATGAATCAGGCTACTATATTCCTACATAGTACAGATCTATAGGTCTTGGCTGTAGGTCCTGGCTTAATATGATTTGCAAATGCAAAAAGACTGGAGGTGTGCAAAAGAGCCTTTCCTCCCACATCTGTATCCTGAGCCTTTCCTGTCCTTCCAAGAACAAAGCAACTCCCCATTCCCACTTCTGCTTCCTAAACCATTGTTCTATCATCTTTTCCAGAGTCAAGAAAGCACTGTGCCCAGCATTACCAGACCCTGCTAATACTGAAGCCATAAAGATCCTCACCACAGCAGAAACAGGCCAGGTGAGATTTCAAGTGGAGATCTTCTAAATCATATTATTTTGATTTCTTTATTTATTGAATAAAGGTGACTGCATGTTTTATCAGTAGGAAATAGTAGTAGCAAATGATCTCTTGATCCCTGGAGACCTCTAGGTTTGAGAGTGAGAAGCTGACAGAAGAGTATAAGTATGGAAGAGGGAGACTTCTTTAAAGATACCAGAAGCACAGCTATCAAGTGGGTGATGTTACAGCACTTTGGGTCCGCAGGGTGAACCTTTCTTTGGGGATCTTTTGTCCTGCAGGAGTATCTCTTCAGCCTAGACTTGTGCTCTGCTTTTGTACTCTGTAGATCAAGCAAGTGACTGAAGTTCACAACAATAATCCTCATCTGTTGTATCTTCTACCATATATTTTTATACCAATTGGCTGGGTATGCACAACACACTGAAACACAAGCCAGCAAGCCACACTTTAGCCTAATGTATGTGGTGTATGGTTCTCAATGTCATGCAAACCTAGAAAATGGGGTTAATTTAGCAATCCATGGTTTAGTGAACCCTAAGGTAAGTGTCTCATGCAACCATACCATTATGTCATTCTTTTTCCCAGTGAACTCTATAAACAGAGCTTTCATGGGTGTTAAACGCACATTGTTCCTCTTTATTTTGGTGGGATCTTTTGTTTGTATGTTTGTTTTATTAGTTCTGGAGAGGAAGGCTATGACTTCTCTTTGAACTGACATCTGATGACCTTCCTTGAGACTTAAAATATCCACACACACCCCCCAAGATTTCAGCCATTAACAGTTTCCAGATGCCCAGCTATTTCTTGGCACCAGCCAACTATTGTGCCATGCAGATGTGCTTGGGCACCCCCTTTTCCTGTGCCACTGTTCCTGCCCTCCTGCATAGTTCCAGTACTATTAGCTATTATTAAATTGCCAGTTAAGAAATTGGTATTACTTATTTTTGGCAACTGTGCCACCAAGTTTGGCAGCATGATCAGATGGGACTGGTGGCTGCAAAAAAGTTGTTTGGTACCCCAGGTACCCACTCCTGGACTAGATATGGACCCTCAGGACAAAGTTGCTTCATATACACTTTTCACATGACTTTAAATGGTGAGATGTTCTTGGATAAGGGACTGGGAGACAGATAGTATGTTTAATTTCCCTTGGAAGTAAAAGAACTGCTGGATTTGATGGTTTTTGCAGTATCTCTTTCTGAATTGTCTTACAAAGACTGGATGACATCAGTGCCTGTTAAGAACCAGGAATCATTCAGGGGTATGGAAGGGTTTAATTGTGCTATGAAACTTCTCCTTTAGGGGAAAGTATGAGGCTCCCTCCAATATCAATGCTCTATCCCCATGTTATAAGGAACCACAGTTGGTTCACTGAAATAGCTTACAAGTCCTGTAAATCCTGTAATAAGTCTTATAAATGAATATATAAAATTTTAAAACCAGGAAAAACAGCCATGGAACATTCAAACAAAAGTTCCAAACAGAGTTCTGTGAATCAGACCCTTCCAGATCATTGAAAAAAGGAAAATGACATATCATATGTGGTTTCTTCACACACTTAGCATCATGCCCTCTCCTCATTCTCACCTCACTTAGTGCAGCCCTCCTCCCAGTTAACTTAGAAAGACTTGACTTAAATCCTGCTAGCATTTCCAGGGCACAGGATCAGATGGCCAAGTAGACCAGAGTTCCTAGACAGCCATTGCCAATGAGAATACACAATACTGCTAAGATGGGCAAATAACCTAATCTGGTAAGAAGACAGTATCTTAAGATCTGACCACCACACATCTTTAATCAGCTTAATAGAGATCTACACAGCCTGGGTTCCCACATTATGCTTAATGTTTTGTTCATTTCTGGCACATTGGTTTGTATAAGCATATCTAATGAAGTTTGTAAAGCATTATTTGTCTTATCCCAGTGTGAAGACCCTGCCAATTGTCATTGATTCAATCAATTATAATTAAACAAACAATAGCTTAGGATGAATCCAACCTCAGACAGACATGCACTGAGGCTAGTAGCATACTGAATACTCTTAATGTTTTTTCAGATCCAGGTAAAGTTGGGTTTTATGGAACCAGTGGAATCCAACAGCCCCAAGGAACCATTGGTTGTAGAACCTTCATCTGACAAAGAGGAGCCAGTTGCTGATAGAACAATGGACTTGTTGGGATTTGTCAAGGGAATAGAAGAGGAACATTCTCCCAAAGAGGACCAAGTGGGCTCTGATGAAATCCTATTTGTTGAATATAAGGGGCAAAAATTTTTGAGCCCTGTGGAAGAATCTGAAGACTTTGCAGGTATCTCCCATGAAGAAAGTACTAATTCCCACCTCTTCCTGAACAATACTGAAGCTGGAGACCAAAATGGCACGTGTATGTCACAAGTTCCACTCTCGTTCAGACTTTTTGACAAACTGGTGGTGATTAAGAATATAGATGAAGGCTTTGACTTTCCATGCAGTGATGGTGCTTCAACCTAGAACAGGACTGTTTCTGAACCTCTAGAAAACGTCTTGCTGTTTTGGGGACAGCAAACCAACAAAAGGAAATGGCAGATAGCTTCTACAACCACTCTCTGAGGAAAGACACCATAATTCAGTGGCACAGCATATCTTTGCAAGAAGATAATATCCAGTTTGGTTGCCTTGAAGCAGTGTTGCATAAAGTTTTCTGTACCTGAAATCTTGGACAGTTATTACTACTTGGTGAGCTGGCAGTAATGGACCACGTGGATCATGTGGTAGAGATAACTTCTATTGATAGAGCTCATTGGACTCAGTATCTTACATCAGACTCTTTTTCTAGCATTCTGGGAAGCAAGGCTGGGGAAAACTCTCTATCTGACAAGGGTGCACAATTTGAGTCCCCCTCCCTCAAATGATGCGGCCTGTGGAGTTCATTTTAAAGTTGCCACTGAACTGTAAATTTTATATGATAAAAGTGGAGTAACCCATTAATTCTTTTTAATGAATTGAATTTCAATTTGATTTCACCTAAGTTAAGTTTGTTTTGGTCTGGCCCTAGCCCTGTCTTTGTCCCACCTAATTTCTGAAATGCAATCCTCCACATGTGGCATGAAAAGTCACACATTCCTGGCCTCCTAAACCCTGCAGGGCTATTTCTGTAGAAACCTCTGGTGAAGAAACATCATGAACCCATAACCTACAGAAGTTCCCTGCCTTCTAGTGATCTTCACTTGTCCTTCTCCCAAGCTCTGCAATGAATGCAAAGTCTCATTCCACCATTTAAATGCAAAGATTACAGCATTGCCATATATATCCATTTATCTTCTCCCTTTCTAATAGAGCTTTTAAATCTTCCATGCAAGATACTGTTCTTGGTCAAATAGTCTTTAAGTAGCTGAATTTGAGCTAAAGTGGATGTAACAGCAATACCTTTCTTAGGTCAGCTCAAGGATACAAAATAGGCAACTTTGTCGGATCTCCCAAACATTTGTCAGCAAAGAAGTAAATTAAGGGAAAATGGATAGTTAAGGTTCAGGCCATAAGGTCTGCTTTTAGCTATAGTCTTTTGAATGGTGGAGTGGACTGAAGACACTTAACTGAGATAGGCCAAGAAGACCCTCTATGTGAGGCAGGGGAGGCTGCCCTGTGATGCAAGAGGAGGTTTTGGTACTTCTGATGCTCCTTCTTGTCCGCTTCCTTAATAGCAACAGCACTGCCACTCACCCTCCAGACGGCCGGCGGTCGTGCAGGTGTCACCCTGGGAAAGCAGATTCTATGGCCACCTCACAACACATCACCATGAATCCTCTTAAAATAATGCATATGGAAGGCTGGCTCAGAAGATAAGCAACATGGTTTAGAAATTGGGGTGATGGGCTTTAGTGAGGAGGATACATGGTCAAATCAATGCCTTGCCATGGAACTCCCTCTTACAGTGCCTTTGTAAGGATCAAGTGGAGGATGCCATATTATATATGCTGCCTTGAGCCCTTACAAAGAAGGTGGGCTATAAACTTCAGAAAGAATAGTCCCAATCCATTGCTCTTTCTGGTCTGTTGCCCAAAATTACTACTTCAGTCAGCTTAATGACAGAGTTAGCCTTTCTATTACACATTTAATTTAGCTTTTAAGCTAATTTCAGGGTATGGCTAGGATTCTCCCAACAGCAGACAGTTTCTCTCAGTTTTGAAAGTATAAAATCCAACTTTATTCAGATCAAGCCTTCTTCCTTAGACGAAGCATACTAGTCCCTTGGTGAGTGGAAAGCAGAAAACAGTAGGCATTTTGATATTAAAGTGTTTGAGATTGTTTTGAAGTATATTTTTAGGAGTTACAAAAGGCAAACAGTATTAAAAACAAGAACAACACACACATATATCATCGGAGGTTATGTTTTTTCATTATAAAAGTATATGACAGAGATTATCAGGTTCATCAGCAGAATTTAAGAATAAATTTTGTTATTGCAAAATGTCTTTCTACTGGGTCCATGAATCACTGATACACTTCTGTTGATTATTTTTTTAATGGATGTCAATGCTGGAGCACATTTCTAGCATATTGTCAATTTCTTGATTTATTGCACGGCTCTCTGTTGCCTCATTTATTTTTTAAAACTGGAGATCATTTTAGATAGGATGAGTGAGCAGAAGAAACCAAATTGGATAATTTTGTGTAAAGGATATAAGGATTGTATCTTCAGAAAAATGCAGGCTTTGGGTGGTATAAAGTTATCTTCTTCCAGGACAGGCCCCTCCTTCTTGTACAGCTGAATTCAGCATTTTCAGTTCCTACTTTTTCTTTCTTTGTGACTTTTTCTATTCTCAGAAAAGAGTTTTGTATAATTTAGAAAGATTATATACTGCACTCAGAATCTTTTTGGTTCTGATAAAGGTATATTATCCTCAGAATTATTTTACTGTCTTTTTTATATCACCTCTAGAACAATTCAATATGCCCTCTTATTGTTAGCCTTCTGGAAGCTACTGAAGAAAGAACAGTTCTTGAGGGCCTTTGGCAAGTGAATGGTGTTCACTGTGCCCATCCCACAATGGCAGATTTGTGTTATCTTGAATTACGTTTTTGACCACATTTTATGCTTTGGTGTAAAAACTCGCCCAGAGTCACCCTCCAGGGGAGATGGGCAGCATACAAATTTAATAAATAAATAAATAAATAATAAAAACACAATGCCAATCAAAAACTCAACAGTTAGGCTGTGCTTATTGCACTAAATTGTGTAACTCTATTGAATAAACAACTGTCAGAGCAGTGGCTATATGAACTGAAACTGGGGGAGCTCTTGGTGTCTCCTTTGTCATGATCAGATCACGCCCTGTTCTCCACGGGATTCTCTAGCGCCACTATCCACTGCAGAGAGGCTGGACACATTAGATCGGTCCACCCCAGCAACTGATGGACCTGGATGAGTTTCAGAGGGAGCTGAGGGTTGTTCCTGTTGGTCTGCTGCAAGGTCCATCTGACGCCTTGGTTCCGCTTGGAATAAGAAGGCAGCTGAAGCATTGGATCCGATTGCCCCCATGCAACCTCTCCCCTCTCGGGGATCCTGCCACTCCCTGTGGTTTAAAGAGAAGGAGATGAAAAGAGACATCTAGAGCGTTGCTGGTGCTCAACCAAGGATGAACTCGGGTTAGAGCCCCTATTAAGGCCTACCTTGTGGCAGTAAGGGTTGCAAAGCAACAGTAGTTCTCTGCCCATACTTTATCCACAATTGCCGCCCCACAGGCCTGTTTTGGGTTACTCGAGTCCTCTTGGGTAAAGGGGGCCCAGGGACCTTTTGCAGGGATGTGTGGAGGAATTTACTCAGCGTCTATTGGAAAAAGTCACTCAGATTCACTCACAGTTGGATGCTGGCCTTGTTGCAGGTCCAGAGGAGATGCCTGGGGTGGAGTCTTGCCTGGTTATCTGGGAATGGGTTGAACCTGCTGGATCTGAGAAAGTGGACAGGGTCCCTAGGACTGTGAGCTCAGCCACCTGCTCTTTAGATCCATGCCCCTCTTAGCTTGTGAAAGCAGCCCGGGGGGTGTTTTGTGAGTGGGTTCTAGCGGTGGTTAATTCTTCTTTGAGTAAGGGGATTGCTCCTTTACCTCTTAAAGAGGCCTTGGTTCACCTCCTTCTCAAGAAGCATTGCTGGACCCCACTATACCGGACAATTTTCGTCCAGTATCTAACTTCCCCTTTTTGGGGAAGGTGGTTGAGAAGGTGGTTGTCCAACAGCTTCAGAGGGCCTTTTCCTCATGGTCTGCGACTCCCTTTGTTCCCCCTCCCCCCGGCAAAATGGCAGGCAGTTCTGTGGATCAGCTAAGGAGGAGGAGGAGGAGTGATTTCCAACGCTCCCTGCCAGCTTCCCACAAGCAATGGGGAAGCCAGCAGGAAGTCAGAAGTCTCCCCTGCTCCTGTTGCTTTTTTGCCCGCCCACAGTCATTGTTTCTCTGCTTAGGTAAGGAAATATCTCTGAAAGGATGACCCAGTGGGTCACGGGTTGTCCAATGTTTCACTAAAGCTAATTAAAAAACCATGATGATTCTGAGAAATTGTACAGGGAAGAAATAAACAAGCATTTAACAGATGTAAACATCAGGAAACAACTTGGAGAGAGCATAGTCTGTAATTTATTGAGAGCTGACCTGGTGACCAATAAAACATAATTTGGGCAGAAGTCTATCCCCTTGTTCACACACACACACACACACACACACACTGCCATGCTGGGCTTTTACAGTATAGGCAATGGAATGTCCATCTTGATTAAAATATGGGGGCTTTTACAATATTAATGACAAATTCCATTATGACACCAAACCTAATCTGTAGCTAATGAAATGAAGAGCTGATTGCAATGATAAAACAGGTTTGTTTCCAAAGTGGGGTCACAAGACTTCTTGTTGATTTAGCAAAACAAAAATCAGAGCAGATCTCGGGCCTCACAATAAGCCTGGTTACAGGACAGTGGTAGCTCCCATCAGGCCTCCCTATAACCCAGCACAGCTTGGGACCTGCATCATTGGCTCCATCTCCTCTCCCGTCCCACACAAGGCCTTTGTTTGTCTGAATCATGAGTTGTGGTGTTGTTTATTTTATTCTTAGGGGCCTGGCAGTCCTGAGTGCCTATCCCGGAAAGGAAACCCAACTGAAGGATGATTCACAGGCCTGTCCAAGGGAGCCCTCTTGTGACCACTTGACTCTCCACTCACTAGAAGGGGTAACCTACCGTGAGAAACTTTACCATGTTGGGACGAGCTCTTTTTTCTGTGATGTCATAATTCATAAAGCTGTATTCCGTTCTGGAATGCCAGGAGTCATCAGAAAACAAAGGCATGTTTTATTGAATCAGGCAGCACATGAAAGTTCCAAATATTGGACTGGTGGTTCCTTACTGACTTTTAAACCACCCACATTTCTGGAAGGCCTTGAAGGATATTTTTTTTCTACGCATCCCCTTTTTAAAGAGATATGTATAGCTTTTACTTACCTAAGCAAAAATCCAGAAGTGATAGGTATTCTAGAGCTGTGCCTTCTTGCCAAAAATAGAGATTTTTGGCTCCTAGTTCTCTCTTTTTTCCTGTGCATTTTGCTAATCTTCTTCTGGTTGCTACCTAACTGCAGGTTGCACAATGCGGTCCACCTTCGTACCACAAATCCCAGCTCCTCTGGCCAATGAATCCTTCCTGAGGGCTTCCCATTTCAAGTTGGGCTTTGACCAGCGGCCCGAGGGTAGCACAGTATTCTCCCCTTATCGTACGGATTATCCTCCTAGATGGGGCACCTACCAGCGACAGCCCATTCTGCCTCCAAAATGTGCTGGTGTCCTGAACCAAGACATGGGCAATTTCTGGGACACTCGCTCGGAAACATACGTTTCATATCCAACCTTGCCTTTGGAGCCAAAATCTGCTATTTGTCCACCTGCCTCCCGCTTCCAAATGCATGCAGATCCCCGCCACAGCATCCTCACTTCTACCACTCGAGAAAGCTATTCTTATCCTTCTACCATACCGCACATCACTCTCAACCGTGTAGACAAGTGGGATGACAGTGTTCCCAGTGGGGACAAAGAGAAGGAACCCCTGCCCGATTCCTTTTACCAGCAATCCTACCCAGCCTACAAAGAGGTGCTACCTGCAGTCAAGGCTCCAAGCCAACACCTGGGTGTGTTTGCCAAACCTATAGGAAGTTCAAACCTTCTAAAGGGTGGCTCAGTAAGGCAGCTTACGTCCATGAAGACAAATCTGAATGGTGACTCTTGCCTAGAACTGCACCTGGACAATCTTTGGGCATTCCTTTTAATTTCCCAAATACTCTGAGTGTCTCCAAGTCTGTGCACTGGGCTTAGACTGAACCTTTTGACCAGAGCTAACAACCAAGTGCCACTGATCGTATGCAGAGTGCCTTCATGTTTTGGTGGAAGATAAAAGCTCAAATTCAGGATTGTAGCATCTCTTTGGCATGCAGGTGATCTCAGATTCATTGGTTAGCTTCTGCAATTAAAATATTCTCAGCCAAGTTTGGAAGAGTATTATATTGCAGTTGCCAAGCAAAATAAATAATATTGAGCTAGATGGAGCAGTGATGTGTGAAAGTGGTGCTGGAATTGAATCTCTGTTAAGGTTGGCAGAGTCTTCCTTCTTCCAGGTGGCTTGGGAAGCTATTGCTGGTTGGTTGGATGGATGGCTGGGTGAATCAAGGCAATATGAGTCTTGGTTCACTTAACATATGGTAGGTGGCTCAGCAGCTTTTGAAGAACATTTCACTTGCCAAAATATCATTCATATCACATACATACACACCCATTCATGCATAGATCTGTTGCCTGTAACTTTCTGATCTGGCAAAGGGGTAGTGGAATAAAAGCTTGGTTAGATAGCCATCCTGACTGATCCACCATAATGGATTTTCTGATCTTCCTTGGCAGGAGGTGATTTTGTCCTGAGAGGTGATGGCCATAACTATTTCAACACGTCTTATCAATCAGCGTTTACGGGTAAATGGGCACCTCCAGTCAAGGGCTGCAGTGAGGTAAGTGTGTACAAAGTCATTTGGCCTCTGACCTGTATTTCCTTCCTACCAGTTCAGGCTTGGCTAAGTAAGAGGAGGAAAATGCAGCCAAACTAGACAAATCTGCTCCAGGAAAAATCAAATAGAGAACAAATGTGTAGAGCCAACAAAACAGATGAGACAAAGATGGTCTCACTATGTGGTATAGGGAAGAGGAATTAGCTTTAACAGATTCTGAGAAATACATATGAACAATCTGGGCCTGTAAAAAGGTGGTAGCTTCCATTAAACCAGAATGGAATGAGACCACGTTTTTAATATCAAAAAGTTAGCCTTTTTTTTTTCACCTGAGCCCTGGTAGAAAATCAACAGGAGCTGACAATGTTTTAGATTAATCATTCCTAATCAAAGATGGTAGAAATGTTTTTGATCTCCTAACTGGGGATATAATACAACTAGATCATTACAGAACCTGATAGTACCCAGCATCAATCTAAGAAAGATGCAGAAATGCCCACCCCTCAATGACAGATGAGAAAGTACTGCATCAGCTTCCTTATGAGGAAAGATTAAAACTTTGGGGGCTTTTTAACTGAGAAATGAATGGGACGTGATAGAGGGCTAGAAAAGCATACATGGGGTAGAAAAAGTGGATAGGGGCAAGGTTTTCTCCCTTTCTCACAATATTAGAGCATGGGTAGCAAGAAGTCTTTGATTACACAGCATAAATTAAAGTATGGAATTATTGTGGTCAGCCACCAACACGATTTTAAGAAGGAACTAGATACTTTCATAAAAAACAGGACTATCAGTGACTCCTGGTCTTGACACTGCACATGGCCTTGGCTGAGTGTGCATGCTAACTCAGAATAGGAATCTTGTTTGTCCAAGAAAGAAATATCTGGCAGTTGAGGAGATGCACTGAAAGGACAAATTCAATATTTCAGCTTTCCTGGCACATAGCAGGAAAAAGGCCAGGAATTTCTCCTGGGAAAGAATAGGTCAGTAGCTACTTTAGCAGTGGCAGAATAATGACAATCCCGCCACTCCAAAATCTTTTTCCTGACAGTCAAACACATCAGTTTAATCCATTGGCTATATGTATCTAAAACCTTCTGCAGCTAGCATACAAAACCAAGATGCTGCTATTCACAGGTAGACCACTTCTACATATGGAGATACTAGTCAGCTAATACGGCTAGCAGCTATTGATAGATCCTCAAAACATAAGAAAAGCCCTGATGGATAGACCATCTAACTGAGCGTTCCTCTTCTAACAGTGGCTAACTGAATATTTCTGGGGAAGCATGGAAGCAATAATCCAGCATTAATCAGGGTAGACTGCTTCTGAAATGGGAAATGCCACAGTTATCACAGCCATTGGTAGATTCATTCAACGCAATTAGGCCTACCATTTTAAAAGCGCCTGCTGCTAATGGCGCCGCGGTACAAGAAGGAAAGGCATCACTTCCAGCATCTGGTCACCTCACATATTTTCCTATTGCAGAATGTGGTATCTATAGTCTTTGGTGACCCCCAGTGCCATCAGGTTGTGAGTGAGCAGAAGCACGCATATACTGTTCAGAAACCTGAAGGCCAACGGTAAGCAATGGAATGCTGGCTTCAGAAAGAGATGACTGGGTTGGAGAAGTCTGTAGTCTCTCATGTGTCATGCTAATATAATGCGTCTCAAACCTCCTAGAGTTACAAGCTCCTTCCACATTAAGCAATCTTCTGAGGAAGGTACCTGAATGTCCTCTGGTTATCCTCATGTTTTTTGTTTTAATTGCTTAAAATGTTTATAGTTTACCTTTCTAATACTAGGCTTCCAAGATGCCATGCAACCAAGTTTCTCATCGTGACACTCAAGGGCATCACGGCCCTT